TCCTGCCTCAGCCTCCCAAAGTGCTGAATGACAAGTGCCAGCCACTGCACCCGGCCTCAGACTATTTTTAAGGAATGTAAACACCTGTGAGTCCACCACCCAGAAGCAGATCTAGAACATTTCCAGCCTCTCAAGAGTCGTTCATGCTCATCCCACTCACTGACTCCCAAAGGTAACGCCATTCTAGCCTGTTTAACTCGACCTGAATGGAATTCTCACAGCATGTGTCTGTTTGGATCTGGCTTCTTCCGCTCAGTTGGGAGACCCATTGATGTTTCCTGTGTCCTCGATCCTTTTTATTGCTGTGGCGACTCTTATATGAAAGCCACAATTCATTTCTCCCCTCTGCTGCTGGTGAAGATTTGCACTGTTCCCAGCCTGGGGCTGCGATGAATAAACAGAAAAATAAACAGAAAAATACATTTTTCTTTCCCTTGGGTAATTTTGTAGAAGTGGAAAAGACAGAACATAGGAGAAATCGGTATTTGACTGTGTGACAACTCACCAAGCAGTTTTTTTTTTTTCTATTTTTAAATTTTTTTGAGACAGGGTCTTGCTCTGTTGCCCAGGCTGGAGTGCAGTGGCGTGATGACAGTTCACTGCAGCCTTGGCCTCCTAGGGTCAAGTGAGCCTCCCACCTCAGCCTCCCACGTAACTGGAACCACAGGTGTGTACCACCACACCTGGCTAATTTGCTTTTTAAATTATATGTAGAGACAAGGTCTTCCTGTCTTGCCCAGGCTGGTCTCAAGCTCCTAGCCTGAAGTGATCCTTCTGCGTCAGCCTCTTGAAGTGTCAGGATTACAGGCGTGAGCCACCACACCCCACCAGCTTTTCTAAGCTGCATTGTTTTCCGCTCCAGTCTGCTGTGAATGAGAGTCCCAGTTGTTTCATATCCCAACCAATTGGCGACAGCCTACAAATGACGCGCCATGACGAAATTGTTCCCGCTGTCCGTGGTGTCATAGAGGATTGCGAAGAATTTCCCTCCTTTCTCTCCTTTCTGCTCCACCTGAACTGTCTGCTCCTTAAATTGGTCAAATTCTACTTGATCCAGGAACATAATGGGGATGGGGCTTGCAGACGGCTCACATGCCTCAGCCTGTGGGAGCATCTCAGAGGAATTCGCCTGCAGGTTCTGGTGCATCTAGGCAGAGCACAAGAAGGAAGAGAGGTGCAGACGCACGTGTGGCCCTGCGCCTTCCCTCCCCTCAAGCCTGCACAGGCCTTTACCTGCCCATCCCAGCTCGTGTTCTCGGCCTTCTGGCCAGCACTTCGCTGGGACCTGGTCGACTTCAGGGAAGTTTATTTCATGGCTCCCTCCCCACACTGCAGCCTATCCTGTTATTCTCTGTTTCAACCAATCATTTCCCCTAACGGGGTGCTCAAGCCAGTTAAAGGCAGTTCATGCCATATGTTCCTTCCCATCGCATGTCACCTGAAATGTTCTAGTGTGTCCAAGACTTACCTCCCCATCCTAAGACACGGAAAATAAGGATAGAGAAGAGAAGAAAGAGAAATTCACTGAGAGAGGGAGGATCAGAAGCTCCTGGGCACCCCCCACTCTAGAATAAAAATCTTCATTAAGGTGTTTTTCTTACAAAATATTCCCCTCTAAGTTATTATGTTTTTATATGAAGAATAGAAATTTAAAGAGAAGTTTGAAGAGTCTGAGAATCTTCATATAACTCAGGCTGCCACAATGAATTAGCTGTGTGACCCGGGGCATGTCCCTCAGACTCTGAGCCTCAGCTTCTCCGAATGTAAAATGGGTTGAAGCCTCCCTTCCCCTCCAGCACCCTATGCACAGGCAATACCCAGCCCCGTTATTTTCTGGATTCTGTGACCAAGTGTGGTCAGGCTACACAGCCACACACTTCCGGGCAGAGTCATCTGGGAACTCACAGTTGTGTCAGTGTGGTTGGATATCGTAAACCTCTATGAACCAAATATGCTTTGGGCTCAGGGGTGAAGCACAGGAGAGGGAGGAGGGAAAAGTCACTGGGGCTGGGAGTGCTCACTTCCCTGTGAGTGTCACCCCAGTCCTCCTCCAGCACCCTACCTTTTCCTCTCTGGACCTACTTCCTCTTGTTGCCTGCTCCTCCCCATTGAATAACAGCCAAGTTGCTTTAGTTTCTATTTCTTTGTTAAGTCTTTCCCTCTGCAGAGAGCTGCCTGGCAGGTGTGAAAGACAGCAGTGCCACAGAGGCGGTGGAGAGATGGCCTACAGCGGTGCCCCGACTACCTACCTGAACCCAGTGAGTTCCGGGGCCGTGGGCATGGGGCTGCCTCAGCCAGGGCTACACAGCTCTGGGGCTCTGAGGAAGCAACTCCTGGGTGACGGGGATAGGGGTGGGAGCTTCCCAAGAGAACACAAGCAGGGCCAAAATGTCAACAGGGTCATCCAGGCACACCTGCACCATGCTGAGCTCGCTCATGCCTGGAGGGATGCTTGTCCCCACGAGGCATGGGTTTGACAATGTGGACGGAGCCGTGCTGTCCTGTCCCGTGTGCTCAGGGGAAGAGGTGTAGAGCGAAACGGTGTGTATGAAGAAGTAAGCATGCTCCCAGGGCAGTGAGAACCCACATGGTAGTTAAGGTTGCTAACTTTGGAGATGACCTCCCTGGGTCTGGCTGTTTGCTAGTTGGTGGTCTCTGGACCTCAGTTTCCCCATCTGTAAAGTGGGAATAATACTTGAGGCCCTCCCACTCCCAGGGGTGGGAGTTGGATTGCGGAGGTGGTGTATCTAGTGTGTGTGAACAGTGGCTGGCACCCTGCAGGTGCTTTGAGAGTGTTTCACATTGTTGGGAGTTGGGGGGCAGCAGAGAAGGCCTCCTGAGGAGGGATTTGTGCTCCGAAGGGTCAGTCAGAGTTAATGAGGCATGGACATGTTCAGGGCATCTGCGCAGGGGCAGCCTCAGAGGTGAGGGGGACAGGGACTGTCCCTGCACTGTGGGGTCACAGGGCAGCAGGGGCCTTGCAGAAACCCTGTGAGGTTTATGAGTCCCCTTCATACATGGGAAATCTGAGGTTCAGGGAGGCAGAGGCCAGTTGCCAAATGCCCCCAGATGGGAGTGGCAACCCCAGGAGCCCAGGAGCCTTCAGGGGTCACTGTGTCCTGGGCCAGGTCCTGTCACAGGATCTCACCCCGCCTGGGCAAAGAGCTTCCTGAGGAGCTGGAGAGGGGAGGGTGGACAGAGGCAGGATGCTGAGGGCAGGGAAGCTGCCAGGACCACCTCAGCAGAGGCCAGAGTAGGGCCTGGGTGCCCTCTGGTGACATTGAGTCCAGAATGAGGCCGCCTGTGTTCTGGTCTGCAGAGCTCGGCTCTGCTGTCTAGACTCCAGAGAGGGAGGGGAGGGAAAGGTGGCCTGTTTCCTCCTGGCTGTCACCAACGACCTCTCAGCCACCCTGTGGAGGCCCCCAAGGTAGGACCTGCACGGAGGGGCCGGGGGAAGCTGGAACGGGCCCACCGGTGGGGGCTTAGGGTCGGCATGTGCCGCCTTGGGCATGTCACCCTGTCTCTGGTTCTCTGTCAGAGTGGCGATCCCAGAGCTTTTTCCAGTTTCTGACATACTGTGCTGGTGACTGATTTTTATTTTCTAATCTTTGGATTTGGAAGATAAATCCTCCTATGGGCATCAGAGTTTCAGAGAGTTAAAGCGGGACCTGGAGTCCAGACATGAAAGACGGTCAGTGTACCCCCATGGGTGTCCAGAGCTCTCCTCTACCCCACGAGGGCTCCCCTAGGCTGGGACACTTAAGCCTCATTCAGTGACCCTTCTGGCAGCCAGAGCCACACTTCCTCCACACAGTGACAGTAGGAGAATGTCACGCAGTTCGCTCTCCTGCTGAGGAGGGCTGAGGGTCGTGAGGGCCTCGCTTGGAAACCTCACTCCCACTTCCTGTCCAGGCTCATCTAACCCAGCCTCTTCTGAGGATGGGGGGAAGATGGAACCGCCTGCTGCGTGGCCCAGGGAAGTACTGGGAGAGCCAGAATGAGGATGTTCTCAGCTCCTCGTGAGAGGAAGCCTGAGTGGTAGTTAAAAGCGTGGGTGCTGGGGTTCAAATCCCAGCTCTGTTGCTGACCAGCTGTGTAGCTTTGGGCAAATTACAAAACTTTTCTGTGCCTCAGTTTCCTCATCTGTAACAGTGGCTGGCGCCTGTGAGGATAGATGTTCCTGGTGGTGCCCAGAGCCTTCGTGGACACATGTGGATCCAAATGCCACAGCAGCCTTAGCTGGCCAACCTTAAAACAGCACATTGTTCCTACGGTGTTGGAGGTCAGAGGCTAAAATCAAAGTGTCATGGAAGGTGGCCTGCAGGACCGTGGAGCCTCTGAGGCAGCCGG